AAAAAAAAAAAAAAAAAAAAAGAATGAATGGGAATTAAGGGAACCGAAAAACAAATATGAATCTCACAGTGGTATGACTAGGCTGTATGGATGCCAGAATGATTAAATCAATTATATATTTTTTAGAAAAGATATTTTTACAAACATATCTTCATTCGAAAAGTTTTTTTTGTTAGGAGACTATATTAGAAAATCGTTGGAGAGAAAAGCAGTCCATATGAGGGATTAAATTAAATTCCATGAATCAAAGCTTGTTTCATTTGGCTGAAAAGCAGTTGAAGTGGTGGTAATATAATATTATTTTTAGTGTTTCTTGTTTTAATTCTGCATTTCAAGATTTTGGGATAGGTGGGAAAGTGTTTCTTTAAAATTTAGTATGGCCTTCATAAGTAATTCTCCCTGTTCATGTGTGTGCCTTTATGATTCTTACATTCATTCATTCCTGTGACTTGAGTCCTGAGGTTCTAACTGAACTAGTTGACCCTGATGCCATAATAAGGGTATTTATATTTCTTGGTTTGGCTTTGTTGGCTCCTCAGGTTATCCTACCTTGCGGATAGAGAAGAATGACCTGAGAAGTGTCACTCTTTTGGAGGCCAAAGCTAAGGTGAAGGATATCGCAATATCCAGGGAGAGGATAACTCTAAAAGATGTACTCCAAGAAGGTATCTATTATCTCAAAATCAGGTTTTCAAGGAAGATTTAATGTTAGTAGTATAAAAAATTTTTGTTTCAGAATTTAAGAATTTCATCTCATTTTGAGTTTAAGGATAGAAAGCAGTGCACAATTTGTTTCCTCTATAACACTGATTTTTATTTTCCCTTTCTTTAGATTTTCAATTTGCCTTAATATGGACAGCTTTGGTGCAATTGTTGATTTTCAAGTATATTAAGGCATGATTATTAGTGTTTCTGTCACCTTTAAAGTATATTTGCTGTTTAGTTCTTGTCTGAAGATGATCACTACCTAGCAGACCTCTTTGAAGCATTCTAAGTAATTCTCTGTGATGGAAAGTGTATGGGTTCTAGCAGAAGGCGCATGCGTGGGGATTGGAGTTATGCCCAACTTCCAGTCCCAGTCCCACAATTTATTACCTATGTGACCTTGGGGAAATCATTTCCTGTTTTCCATGTCCAGTTTCCTCTTCTCTAAATTTGGACTCCATTGTCTACTCTTAGACAGTTGTGAAGATTAGATGAACTGATGTTCATTAAATGAACTAACACATGATAGGTGTTTGAGAGATAGTACCGTGCCCTTCCCCTCTTGCTGGTCCTTGCTTTCTTTTTTGAGTTTCAAGGTATTGACTGGGGAGAATGCTGAAAAAAGAAGACAGAAATTAATAATAAAATACTTTATTGAGCTCTTCAAATTGTTAAATAGAGAATTACTTTTTCCCCCCTTCCATAACTCAGTTTGGAATGTTTTGGATGCATGTGAGTCATTCTGAATTCATCTGTTTGGTTGAGATGCTTGTAGGTCAGTCACAGCCAAGGGAGGAGCTTGAACTGGCTCCAGTAGCAAGTAGTAATTAATGGAAGCAGATTTTTTTGGTGTTTTTGAATGTGTGAGGAGAGTCCATTTTTCTCCTTTGTCATTGCTCTGAGGCTAAGCCTAGAAACTCATAAATGTTTCTATGGATACCCCATTACTGAGCTCCAGTGCTCCTGTCTATATCATTCGTTTATTTAGGATATTTCAGAATGAATTCTCATATATAGTTTAAATTTGATATTTCAGAAGACAAGTTAAGATACTTTGTAGTTAAAAAGAGCCTTTAACAGTCATTAAAAAAACAAAGATTTGAGTCTTTTTATGCTAGGGCTGGAGTAATGTTGATCACATTTTCCCTTGTTATGTTTAAGTTGTATTGTGCCAGAAAGTTTTGTATTTATAATTTTATGAACGTTATCATATGATCTCAATAATTATTATTTTTCCTTTTAGGTACTTTTGGGCGTATTTTCCATGGGATTTTAGTAGATGAAAAAGATCCAAATAAGGAAAAACAAGCATTTGTAAAAACAGTTAAAGGTAGGATTTTATTTCCCATTCTGTTTCCATACTGCTTTTCTGTCTAAGGTGGCTTATGTCAGCGAAATTGTTTCAGATTTTCAGTGTGTGCCAGACCTTAATCATTAATCCAGTCCATGTTAATTTAGCTCATACAGTCTGACCTTTTAGGAGATTTGTGTTGTTTTCATTAAGGTATAGAAAATAGAAGCTAATAAATTAAGACATTATATATTTATTAGATATTACTCAGGCTTCTAATTAAACTGCATCCACTTGACTTCATTTTTGCTATATCTAATATTATGTTTTTCCTAGGTTAAAATTCTTTGGATTTTCCTTCTTAAAAAACATTGATAGTAGTTTTCCCTCCATCTCAGCACCCCTCCACCCCCAGTACTGAGGACTTACAAAGAAAAAAAATGACCCCCAGACCCACTGAACCTTATGTGAATAGCTGCTATTTGCCTTTCTCTCACTCCCTCTCCTCCCTTTTTTTTGGTGTGTGTGTGTGTGTGTGTGTGTGTATTACTTCTTGGTAGAGTTTTGCAGGTATAGCTGTAGTTGGAATTGCTGCCCCACAAGGTGTTTACATTTAAAATATTGATAGTTGTTGCCAGATTGTTTTCTAAAAGGTAGTGATAGTTTACATTTTCATGAACAGAATACCTATTTTCACATATTCTCCTTTAGGAGAAATGTGATGCTTAATTTTTCACTTACTGATTTCACTTACTGATTTATATAAAATTTTCAGTTAGAGATTCCCTATCAACATATACTAGAATATGTTTTTATATGGCTTATTGCCTAATACTGTTAAGTTAGCAAGACCTTTTATAATATTAGAATTTTAATGATTTATAATTGATTTGTATATTTAAGCTTTGTAAAAGCTTAAATAATTCTTAGGTAAGTCTATTTGCTCATTTTAAAAGAGAAAATGTAATTTAAAGAGTGCTTAATGTCTGACAGTGTCTGATGTAAGTTGAAATAACTAGTTATTAATTTTGCAAAAACAAATTTAGCATTCCAAATGCAGAAATTGAGGGCAAAATTCAATTCAGTTTTATGAGTAGGAGGTGACAATTTTGTGAAGTTCACAAAGTTAATTTATAAATTTCTAAATTTAGTTAAAGGAATTCTTAGGAAGCATGAAAGGTTTGTGTTTATTGTTTCTAAAAAGTTGGGTTATACTAATCTAACAAAAAAACTTTGGAATTTGATTTCTTTTAATTTAGCAAAATTGCTTGTTTAAGGATGCTAGAAACACACACTTTCTTCTTTTTTTTTTTTTTTTTGCGGTATGTGGGCCTCTCACTGTTGTGGCCTCTCCCGCTGCGGAGCACAGGCTCCGGACACGCAGGGCTCACAGGCCCAGCCGCTCCGCGGCACGCGGGATCTTCCCGGACCGGGGCACGAACCCGTGTCCCCTGCATCAGCAGGCGGACTCCCAACCACTGTGCCACCAGGGAAGCCCCACTTTCTTCTTTTTAAACAGATGGTTTAACTTACTGTTAAGTGAGTAAGTTAACAGTTAATAAAATGAATTTATTCATTCACTTCTCCTAACCCCAAAACACTTCTAAAGATTGAATTTTAGGTTTGGTCCCACTAGGCTTTCTGACTAGTTTTGAAGGATACTTTACATATTACTCTTTGTAGATGTAAAATTTGAGCCCTAAGTTTAATAATGTCTGCCTTTTGTTACAGTTTCTCCATTTTTTAAAGGAAACATTCCCCCTTAATTCTAATATTTCTTCTGGGGTTTGTAAATATTCTATGGATAATTTAGAACTGGTATATTATTCATTTGTTCTGAAGGAATGTTGAATTAACAAAAGAGGTTTCTTTATAGAATTGGGTTGATTTAGGATTGGAAGTAGGGGGAAAGGAAATAATAGTGATAAGAAAACACAATGCAGATACTGGGACTGTTTCACAAGATAAGATTTCTCTTTCCGTGTACCTTTGAATTGTAGTCACTTGCTTGTTTCTCTGTCTTACCACTGTAATTGTAATGTTCTCTCTGAGCTAGACGGAAACAAGAGAAAGCATAGTGAGTCCTTAGCCAAGATGTAGTCATGATTTGCATGGGAAACACAGAGGAAGTGTACTGACCACGGTATTTGCTTTAAAATTGTTAGATAACTCCACATGATTGAGTGTCTCTGAGATTTATTCTTTTGGAATGTTATTTTTTAATTGAAGCTACATAGAATTGACAAAGTTCTTTCACAAATATGTATGCTTTGTTACATGCTATACAATTAGAAGTACAGCTAAAAATGCAAAAATAATTTTTTAAAAGATCAGTTACTTCTTGGTAGAGGTCCTAGTTGCAGCAGGTGGGCTCCTTAGTTGCGGCTCACCTGCTCCTTAGTTGCAGCTCGCCAACTCCTCAGTTGTGGCATGCGAACTCTGAGTTACAGCATGTGAACTCTTAGTTGTGGCATGCATATGGGATCTAGTTCCCTGACGGGAATCAAACCCGGGCCCCCTGTATTGGGAGCGTGGAGTCTTAACCACTGCACCACTAGGGAAGTCCCTACCTTTGCCTTTAGGCATAAGCAGGAAATTGGAATTTGGCTTCTTAAAAGTTATCATTTTTCACGGAGACTTAATGGATATTCCAATATAAATTTCCAGAGATTGAAATTAGGAATCTGAATTTCACACAGTGAATACTGTGAAATTGAATTCCATGAAATAAATGAATTAATTTGAGGTTATTTGTATTAAGTTCTTGTTTTCTTTTATAGCTTCTAATTTTTTACAAATTAGAAATAAGTAGGGTTTTGTCAAAATCATTTTGTTCTTGTAACTTTTAGAATGTAAATTATTGTATAGTATTCTTTTCAAATATATACATCTTAAAGAAAGACCTTTCAGTATTTAAAATTATAAGACTAGGACCAGACTGGGTAAGGAATCCAGGAAAATGATTTTTTCTTACTAAATGTATAAAATTATTTTTTCTCCAAAGTTTCCTTAGCTCATTATCCACCTCAAGTGTCCCTGGCTTAATAGAACATGCTTATCAAAGTTAAAAGCTTAAAAAATTATGCAAAAAAATGACACATCCTGAAATTACCTTTCATTTTACTTGGATCTCTGTACCAGTTGACAAGAAGGTAAACTCTTACCAAATGGGTACAGACCTCCAACTATTACTAGGTTTCAGTTCTAAAAAGATCCTTCCAGGGCTTCCCTGGTGGCTCAGTGGTTGAGAGTCCGCCTGCCGATGCAGGGGACGCGGGTTCGTGCCCCGGTCCGGAAAGATCCCACGTGCCGTGGAGCGGCTGGGCCCATGAGCCATGGCCGCTGAGCCTGCGTGTCCAGAGCCGGTGCTCCGCAACGGGAGAGGCCACAGCAGTGAGAGGCCTGCGTACCGCAAAAAAAAAAAAAAAAAAAAGATCCTTCCAGTCCCCAAATAGTTCTGGCCATAATTTTATTAACACTTAATTTTATTAACACTTATTTAAACACATAATTTTATTAACACTTATTTAGATTACAGAAAGAGTAAAGAGGCATATTCTGCCATTTACTAAATGTTCCTAAATTTTAAGCAGTTTTTAAACAACTAGAGTTTATTTCAGCAGACATTGAGGTAAAGTGCTTTTTCAAAGAAGTAGCAGGTATTCCAAGTCCTTGGCTTTTTGTCTACCCATTTTGTATTCCTACAAAAGTCTTAACCAAGTGAAGCTGTCTGGAAAGGGAACATTAATATCATGTAATGAGAGAGGGAGTGATTCCACGGGTTCGTCTTGGAAGTAAATGAAATTTACTATTTCTCAGCTCCACTTTTAAGGAATGAGTGTATATTCATGGTGCCTGAGTTTAGAGGTCTGGATATTACTGTTTGTTTAGCACTTTACTAGGTAGGGTTGGGAGGTGGATCTTGGCTTTGACCATCTTTCTATCTTCTTCTCCCTCGTACTGCATTGATCAGAAGATCTATAAATTATTATTACTTTTTTAAAATTGTTGACATACAAATCTATTATTGGCTTCTTTGAAAGTATTTTTAAGGGTATACTGTTAATTTTGTTTTTGATATTTAAAAACCATTTTAAAAAAATTAAAACTCATTTTCAATTTTATAATGAAAATATACTATTCACTTAATGGAAATGTTCTTTTCAGACGGGAGAAAATCCTCTATACTTATTGAAATAGTGGTCCCTATAAGAGGACGCATCCTTGTAGATTTGTGGAAATATTTAATGGCTTCAGGTTCTTTTGAAGGTGCAGACGAAAGATATTGGTAAATTGCATTATCATGTTTTATTTTAAAAACATTGAACTAAAAGCCAATTTTAGTTCTGTTTGTTACCTGGACCAAAAACCATGAGTTCAGAAGCTAAAAATAAAATGGAATAATCATGCTAATTTGGGCTATTATATGAAAATTAAATCTTTTTCTACTAATATAATAGTATGTCTTTTTGTTTGTTTAACCACATAGAGGTAAGAAGAATAAAACAATAAAATGCACCACGATCTCCAGTCAGAACTCCTGTGGTCATTTTTTTCTAATTCTATGTTTGTAAGGTTAGAACGTTTAAACAGGACAGAAAGGTGCACAATGTAAATTCTCGCATCTCTAAAAGTAACCACCGTAAACAATTTCTTATGATTCCCTCTGTGAGTAAGAAGAAAAACAGCCAAATATATCTAATTTTTCAAATAAATTTGATTTTGAAATATAACTTATCGCACAAACACAGTTTTTCACCTTGCTTTTAAAATTTAATATGTCTTGCAGATTTCCCTCTGTCAGTACATGTAAATCTGACTTTTTTTTCTTAAGGTAGCTGCATATTATTCTTACATGCTTATTTAATTGGTTCTCTGTGATGGGCACTTTGGTCTGTGGTTGTTTTGAGTTTTTTTGCTGTTATAATTGAACAGTATTCTTGTTATGTTATATATAGATGAGCTTTTATGAGTAGACTCTTAGCAGTGGGATTGATGATGGTAAAAGGTATTAAAAATTTTGTTAGATGTTGTTTCCCCCACCTACCCAAGATACTGTGGATGAGCCTGTTTCCTCACACTCTTGCCCAAACTGACAGGTAGCTGACTTTTTTGTCTCTTCCAATCTGATGAGGAAAATGGCATCTCCTCGTTTAATTTGCATTTCTTTACTGATGAGTGAAGCCGAAAGTCGTTTTTTAAATTTTGCTGGTCATTTGTGTTGTTTTTTTAGTAAACTGTATGTTTGTATCCTTTGCCTCTTTTTCAGATTTTTGTCTTATCGTATGAGTTCTTTAAAGAAGGGGGGAAAAGACGAAATCAGCCCTTTATATGCCTTATGTGTTACAGATATTTTTCCAGTCTGTTATTACTTTGTCTGCTTTGTTTCTGGAACCTTACTTAATTTCTGATTTTTATGTAGTCAAACTTATCCTTAATGGCATCTGTAAATGTTGACCTTGTCAATGAGACTCTACCTACTACGATAGAATTTTAGGCTAGACCTATTTAGATTTGCCTGTAACTTTTAATGAAATTTACCATACAGTCTGAGATAGTTACTTACTAATACCAGAAAATATTGATGTCATATGTATATTATTATCATACTATATATGACAGTATGTTTTGCTTTATGTAGATCAAGCTTCTGAAATTCAGGTGACAATGATGCTCACTGAAAGTTGTAAGCTGCGAGGTCTTCATCACAGGTGAGAGGAGAAACCACCCAGCATTGTGTTAAGCATGGTAGCATTGTATGCTACATTTTTAAGAATGTTGTAATGTGCCGTTAAATAGAAAGCATTTCTGGAATAGCTTAATTTGTTTTTTTCCTGAATATAAAAGTGAAATGCATGTTCATTGCACAAAATTTAAAAATACAGTAAAATATAAAGAAGAGTATGTAAGCCCACATCTGGATAATTATAGCTGAGCTTTCAGGAAAGAGTTTATATTTATGTGCATCTTTCCCTTTAAAAAGTAGGATAATGATATACATATGCTAAAAAATATTTGCTATGAAATGTTGAACATGTAGAGTACCAAAGAAAAGAATAATAAACACCAGTAAGCCCACCTCCTGAATACATTGGTGGTTAACATTTGCCATTTTTGCTGTGCATGTTTATGTATCTGTCATCTATTTAGGTAGATATAGATCAATATTTGCAAGTGTGGAAATATTTTAAACTAAATTGGATATCTCAGCACTTTCAATGCATTTCCAGCATGCATTTTCCAAAAAGTTGAGGACATTTTTCTATATAATCACAATACCATTATCTTTAACAAGGTTAGCACACTTCTTGATATATGGCAAAACAATATATCTAACTTTTCATGTAAGTAACTATAAATTCACATCCACATTTAAAAAGTCTACATAGTAGTTCATTGAATGGATGCACCACATTTTATTTAACCAGTCTCTTATCATTAGTTTGCAATTTGACTTTTTAAAAAATACTTACAGTTCTGTATATGAAGAACTTTTTTAAAAAGCTTTATATCAGTCCTTTTCACAGAGCTATAATAAGAGATTCTATCTTCTGAGCCAAAAAGGGCGTAATTATAGTATCACAATGTGCAGTATCAATATTTGGGCAAGGTTTTTGTTGTTGTTGTTTTAAAGCACTATACAGAGTCAGCTTAATTTGTGTGCCTACTGAAAATTTGATCACATATGTTTAAAAAATGGAATGGTGGGCTTCCCTGGTGGCGCAGTGCTTGAGAGTCCGCCTGCCGATGCAGGAGACGCGGGTTCGTGCCCCGTTTC